ATATAACAGTTACAAACAATGGGTAATTGCAAATAATTGGCGAAGTTATCATTAGTATAATACTTTATTACAGAAAATACAAAACAAAAGCAAGTAACTTGTACAATGTACTTCTATTTTGTACTTGCTTTAAACAGTAAACTTTGTTTTTATGCTACTATAAGTTTTTTAATGTATGGTTACAAAATATTGTTCTCATCTCTTGTATTACTCCCCATAATTCAGCCAAGTTGTTTGATATTTTACCTTCTTAGCAATGCCGCTCACACAAATCTTTGGGCCCGAGGCAAGTTAACCTGTAGCATTCCTCCGTCCCAGCCGTAGGAGGTACTGTTTATGTATATATAACCCATACAGCCATAATAATATTTACATCAGGACTTTGTACAGGTCATACTATGACTGCAAGTGTTCAGCCAGCCCTTTTTTTTTAATGTACCGTTTTACTACATTTGTTTTATGCTTGGGATCACTATCTCGCTGGACGATGAATCCATGCCCAACAGGTTTTATTCCTCAGGAAATAACACGCTGGATAAGAATCTTCTGGTACCTGTTAGTTGTGTAATCAGTTTGGTGTAGTTCTCCAGCACCATCAGTTGAGATGCACCGCACATGTGGTCCCCAAGCCTGCTTCACTGTAGGTGTTGTACGTTGTCCATGACACCTTTCTTCTCTGTGCCATTTAATAATAAACTACCAGTGATTGTTGCTAAAAGTTTTTGGTTTGGATTCGTCTTCCAGCCTTGGTTATCTCATTATTCGAAGTATTATGCTAATTTCGGTCTTTTGGTTTGTATTTTTCTTCTAAACAGTTTTGAGTAGCCACATATATCTGGAGGCTACTTCGTGCTAATGTATATTTTATTGTTCTGGAAGTAATATTCATATCTGTAGTTACAGCTAGACCAGTGGCAAGATTTCTTCTGTATTATATAAAGAGAATACGGTGAGTTATTTAACATCACGTTTTGAAGAGTTTAAACATTCTATTTCTACTGCTTTTATATTAATATGTACTAGTTTCACATATCAGCTTGATAGCTTCCATACAGCTCTTACTGAAAACTGAAATTTTGTCTCAGTCTGTCGCATGGAGAAGCTTTCTCTAGTCAAACCTTTGATATTTAAACGTTTGTCATGTGGCATCATCACGCTGCTGCTGCGAATAGGTGAATACCTGTAACTTAGATACATTATACTGGTGTGACACAGCACGTGACTGTGCTCTTTTGCAGTTCATTTACATACAACATAAGGGGGAATAATCCCATAATATTTGTATTTTATACCCATTTTATTCAATGTTTCCACAGTTATTTCCAACACTGTATTTCTTACGTAATTAGGATTTTCTGGTTTATATAACATAAATACTCACCAAAATAAAATCTAATGTTCATCTGATTTCTATCACACAAACCTTAGTAAAGTTCAATGTTTAACCCACCTCTATCACACACAAACTTTAGTAAATTTCAATGTTTAACACATTTCTATCACACACAAACTTCAGTAAATTTCAATGTTTAACACATTTCTATCACACACAAACTTCAGTAAATTTCAATGTTTATCCCACCTCTATCACACACAAACTTTAGTAAATTTCAATGTTTAACACATTTCTGTCACACACAAACTTCAGTAAGTTTCAATGTTTATCCCACCTCTATCACACACAAACTTTAGTAAATTTCAATGTTTAATTCACCTCTATTACACATAAACTTTAGTAAATTTAAATGTTTAACTCACCTCTATCACACGAAACACAGTAAAACTGGCGATCATCCCATCGATGTTTTTAGCCGCGGCATAGTGGCTCATAGAATGGCTCTGAGTTTTTCAAGTACAAACGTTTAGCTCATAGTTTCGCCATCTTTTAACCTATTTGAGATCTAATTACAGTTTTTGACTAAGGATGTCAAACTCTTTCGATTCATGTATTTTACCACGCCCAAGATCTTATAGATTAATTTACTCCAATCTTGCCTAAAAGAATTTCAATTTGAGGGTAGGCTGGTAGAGATCCTGATGAGTAATAAATCAAATCGGGTGTACACACGATCCACGCTTGGTATTGCTGACGCACAAAAATATAGCTAATAAGGGAGTGGGGGGGGGGGGAAGGTCTCATAGATTAGTTTATTCTAATCCTGCCTAAAAGATTTTCAAGTGCCGTGGCTATTCAGGATTCTCTCTTGCTTTTGTAAAACAATCATAAACAGAGGTTTAAGAAAAAAATATATATATACAATCTGATTAAAATTGGTTATTTGTTCTATTACCTTATTAAATACATTTTCTACTTCTTTTGTAATAATAGCTAAAGGGAAAAGATAATTACAATTACTTTTAAATTGAAAATTCTGGATTTCAATTCTGATTTTGATTTATAATATTTATTTTCTTATTAATATGGCTTTTAAAAATCTTATCATATTTCAGGAACCGTAAAATACAATGCAAGTTATATATCAATGTACACATTCAGGATGTGCTAAAATTAAAGGGAACAGTGCAAAAAACAAAGTCTATCACTAGGAATGCATTATGGGAAATAAGAGTACTACGTCGTAATGAACTTTGTCTTACGTTTTGCCATCAATAACAGTAATAATATATTAATCACATTCTATCTGCCAAATGCAATGCTGATTAGACCTTTCACCTAATACTCAACGGATGTCTTATCATCAATAACAGTATTATTACCAGAAAAAAATCAATACTGGAAAGAATAGTCGATATACAATAAATATTATTTTGTAGTTCTGTTAGATTTTGTTTGGTGTTAAGTACAAAGCTACACAATGGGCTACCTGTGCTGTGCCTTCAGACTTACTACTGAGCCACTGGGGACAATTCTGTTAGAAAAAGTTAATTTGTTTATGATAAAAACTTTGAAATGATGTTGTGATGTATATTTGCTTTTAATTTAAAATATTATAACTTAAAACAATCATTTTAAACTTTATTTATCATGTTAAAATGTGTCTTAAGTTTAATTCATCAATATTAAAACTGTTGCATAGAAATAAAATAAATTTGTTTCTCGGTATTTTTTTTCGTCATCAGACTTTTTACACATGCAAAAGGTTTTAGACATGAGTATTAGGTCTATTACGTTTTTAAACACTACATTCTTAATCTAGTCCCTTAGGGATTTTTAGGAATTAGAAGAGTGTTTGATAACAGTATTCCAACCACACTGTACTTGTCATATCCATTGCCGACGACATCCAGAACTCTTCAGTGTCAACTATACAACTATATTTGTCATCATTCTTCGCTGGCTTGTAAAAGGCGTATACATCAGAACAAACGTTTTTAGACTTGTTTGAAATAGTCAGATGTTCAAGTATCGTTTGTTTTTTGTTCTTGTTGTTTTTGATATTAAAAAATAATAACAAAACACACATTTTTTGATATTTCCAGACTGGGATTACCTAACAGCACAACTGTCTCTGTTTCAGAATTTTCCTTTCCGTCTTCTCACCAAGGTTAGTCTTATTCAAAATATTTAGTTTCTGTCCACAGATAAATCTATTAAGAAAATCACTTAAACACTAGATAAAATTTCAAATAATTTAATATTGCATGACTTGTTCATTGTTAAGAAGTAATGTTGCATGAGTTGTTCATTGTTAAGAAATAATGTTGCATGACTTGTTTATTGTTAAGAAGAATGTGTAATTTAACGAGTTAGAAAGTTTAACGAAACATCCTTAGGTTTGATTTAATAAAACGCTCCCCGGTGGCTCACGGTACGTCGGGTTTAGATACGAGAGGTGGGCACAGTACAGACAGCTCATTGTGTAGCTTTGTGCTTAACAGCAAACAAACAAATTTAATGAAACAACTCTTACTAGCAATAACAGAAAAGAAGCGTGACAAGTTAATAATACAATTATCAATTTACCAGTATTTTCAACTTAAAAAATTCTGTTATCCTAAACTATAGGCGTTAATATATCTATTAACGTTTTTAAAGTCAAATACTTAATATTCTTGGAATATTTATAAATATATATTTTCGAATAATCTTATTTTTAGACATTCAGAAACTTATAAAGATTTGTAATAATATTTTCAACTCTCTAAACATCAAACAATTTGCAAGTTCATGAATTTTTGTATAATACACAACTACGATTACAAATTTAAAACACACGATGGCTTTAGAATAGTTGTAATAATCTACAAGTTAAATTTATTATGAACCACGATAGTGGTTCATAATAGGGATCGCAAGGAATTGCACAAAACCCTAATGGAACGTTCAGGCAAAACGCACCTTAAACAGTAAAGACTCAGTTCAAACAGCATTTTAAAACCTTTACTATTGACTGCTAAGGTTGTGCACATATAAAAATGCACAAAAAAAGCATGCATGTTAGACTTAACGAGGAAAAGAAAATCCGCTCAAAACGGTACGTTTGTAATTCTTCTTATTATTATTCTCTTGCCAGCCTACAACAAAAACGGCTTGGCATATTGCACCCAAACCTTTTGTATAATACTAAATAAGGTATTGCGAAGGTCGTAGGTGTATTAAAAAGTCGATTTGTTTCTTCGATATTCTACATAAGCTAAAAAACATCATAATTCTAGTGTAAACGACTTTATCATTACCCCTTGAAGGTAGCTTTCTTGTGTTCTTGTAAAAAACACTCAAGTACAAGGTGAAACAGAAATTACCAGCCAATAATAGATGAACATTAGATTACTGTAACATGTAGATACTCAATGCTTTGTACACTATACGATCGGTGCCTTTAGGGAGCCAACGCCTATATTATGTATGAAGTGAAGGAGTAAAAAAAAAACTCAATACACATAATATTAAATTGTCTTACACACATTCGTAGAATAATTACCTTAAAAGACACGAAGTTATATTTAAAGTGATATTTTAGTCGTACATATTTTATTTGACAAGGCTGCTTTTCTACTGGTAAAATTTTATACGTGCTTAGTGGGGGTTGTGTATTAGTCTAGGCGTATATATGCCCATTGCTATGCATTACATACAGAGAATTTAGTTACACAGATACTATAAATGCTCACTATATTCTCAAACAAATCTCTATGACGATCTCCAGCTGCAGCTTAACAGTTTACATCTCGAACTAATGCGATCAAATAGTCAATAGCTACAGCAAATCATCATTAACCGTATCAGCCAGCTACTAGCTATGTTTATTATCATGACAATGTATAAAGTTAGCTACCATATCAAGTGATCTTTTGCCCATAGTTGGGCATAAAAAAGCCACCAAACAAGATAAATAAAAAATTAGGTATTTTAAAACCTGCAAATATGGATTGTAAAAAGTAAGGAAGCAAGGCTGGAGATATTGTAGCCATTACTTACTCAAACTACAAATTCCTATTTTTACTCTATCAAATGTAATTCTAGGTAATATAATGGAACCAAATCCTTATTTGCAGGTTTATGAATTCCCAATCTAATATTTATCTTGTCTGTTTCTTTAGCTATAACGCACTGTAGTTCGATCACTTGACACTCCTCTTGTGTGGCGCTATAGCTGTATTAAAAGTCACGCTTATTTTTATTTTGATATAACCAACTACGTAATGAAAATGGACATTTTCTATGTTGGATTTCACCCATAGGTGACATTTATAGAGGAAATTATTAAGACCATGAAACTAATTAATCGAAAATTAATGTTAATTCAGTCACAACTTCAAAATTAATATTGCATTCACAGGCTGGCCCGGCATGGGGGTCGCGGGTTCGAATCCCCGTCACACCAAACATGCTCGCCTTTTCAGCCGTTATAATGTGACGGTCAATCCCACTATTCGTTGGTAAAAGAGTAGCCCAAGAGTTGACGGTGGATGGTGATGACTAGCTGCCTTCCCTCTAGTCTTACACTGCTAAATTAGGGACGGCTAGCGCAGATAGCCCTCGTGTAGCTTTGCGCGAAATTCAAAAATAAACAAGCATTCACAGGTGAACGCAAGAGGTTGTCAGACAAGCTATGTTCCTTTTAAGTAAAAAAAAGTAAAAATGACCAAGCATAATTAATTATCTAGTTTACAATAATTAAAAGAACATTTTATATATTTTCTTGAGAAGGTTGGCCTCATTGGGCTATTTGCTGTGTCCACTGCAGGAAATCGAACCCTGTATTTCAGCGTTGTAAGTCCAAAATCTTACCATTGTCCCACCAAAATAATACAATACAGCCCATCCGAACTTGTTAACTTTGAGCACGCTCATACAAGGGAGAATGTGTTTATTCCGAAACGTTTACGTTTAATATAAGATATTATATACTCTCCTTATTGTGCCACTGGGGGGGGGGGGGGGGGGCTATTATATGCACGACATGTAAAGTTTGATTTACACGCAAACTTCACTGCTGTTTAAATTTTAATACATATTGCCAATAGAAGGCTTTCAAATAAATAAATGCTATAATGCAGTTAACTGTCAAATTCGGATCAGGTGCGCCAACTCTGAAATCCTGAGCTCTACCACAGGACCAACCCGCGTCTCAAGGGATCAAAATCCCTCAATCCTCTAATGAAAGACCAGTATGTTTAAAAACTAAACGTGATGTATATATTTAGAAATGAAATAATAGGTACGTCATTGTAGCTTTGTCACTCAGTTAAGGATCTTGTCAACAAAATAATTGTTGCCTGTTGCCAAATTTACAAATATTTGACATGAATAGCATATAATGACCTGTTACTAAAATGTCATGCTGAAGATACGTTTGACTGGTTGTCAACACCACCCACCGCCAACTCTTGAGTTGCTCCTTACCAACGGATAGTGAGATTGACCGTCACTTTATAACACTCCATCAGCTGAAAAGTCAAGCATGTTCGGTGACGGGTTTCGATCTCGCTACCCGCATATTACGAGTCAATCCCCCTAACCATCGGCCCATACCAGACCAATTTTGTTTGTTACAACAGATTTGATTAGGTTATGATTCATTAATTTGATTATGTTTTATACTATATTTCAAATTATCCTAACTATTTTTATTATTTCAGAATCCAAAGTGAATCCCAGCAGCAGAAATCGCCACCTTTTAACGATGCAGCCACCGCCTGAGAATTTAAAGTACTTTACTGGCTATAACAGTACTCAGCCTCTGAAACACGTTCTTTTTGAAACCAACTTAACGGTTACCCCATCCATCCAACATTCGGTGAGTACTACTTTCAACTTAACGGTCAGTCCACCCATATAACATTTGATGAGTACTACTTTCAACTTAACAATTACTCCACTCATACAACATTCGGTGTTTTTGCATTCAACTTAACAGTCACACGACTCAAATAATATTCGGTGAGTACTACTTTCAACTTAATTGTCACTACATCATATAACATCTGGTGAGTTCTAATTTCAACTTAATAGTCACTTTACCCATAGAACATTCGGTGAGCTCTAGTTTCAACTTAACGGTCACCCCATCATATGGTACCTGGTGAGAACTAGCTTCAACTTAACGGTCACCCCATCATATGGTATCTGGTGAGATCTAGTTTCAACTTAACGGTCACCTCATCATATGGTACCTGAGGAGAACTAGCTTCAACTTAACGGTCACCCCATCATATGGTACCTGGTGAGATCTAGCTTCAACTTAACGGTCACCCCATCATATAGTACCTGGTGAGATCTAGCTTCAACTTAACGGTCACCCCATCATATGGTACCTGGTGAGATCTAACTTCAACTTAACGGTCACTCCATCCTAT